TTGCATTTTTAGAGTAGGTTTTTATGCACCTAGTGTGCAACAGTCTTTTACTGAAGAGCGTCTGCATCCTAGGTGCAAAAAGGAGGGCTGTTGCAGATTCTTCTTTCAAGCTGTTTCAGACTATAATATTTTCTGCTCACTAAAGGGCAGTTAAGTTGTTTGCAACCATGCTGTTAGCTGGACAGTTTCTTTTCTTGATATCATCAAGAAACTGTACTTTTACACCCCTTCCCTTTAATGTTTTTTTTTTATGTTTTTCCTAACCTGCTTAATACAAGCTTTTTCATGTTTGTCTTTATTTACACAGTTTTGCTGCTGTCTTCAGTTTTATTTGATCTGTGATTTTTTTCATTCATACTGTTATTTGTAGAGGTTATTTTTATTATCAGTATTTTTTTTTTTGCTATACATGGTCTTTCATTTTCCCTTTTGTCTTGAGCTTTTTTTAATTAGATCTGATAATGGAATTTTTTCAACATCTACACATTGTTTTGTTTCCTGAAAGGTTTTATTCCTTTGGTGCATAGTTTTTTTCCCTTATTTCCATTTTTCTTCTGTTCTATGATATTGTTTTGAGTCTTGTTTCTACCTGTATGCTTTCACCTGCCTATTTGCTTTGCTGCTGAGACCTGAATTACCCCACTCTGGGACAATATATTATATTTCTTTTCAATTATATTCCATTCAGTTCAATTCATCCAATTCAATCAAGTTCAATTCAATCCAATTCAATCCAGTTCAATTCTGTTAAATTCCATTCCATTCTATTCTATTCTATTCTAAGTTGTTAAAGTTCTTTACAGTCCATGGAGCAATTTCAGTCACAGTAATTGCAGAAATTGATTATCATTGTTAATATTATTTTTTTTTCTTGAAAAACATTAATATACTGAAGACATTAAGATGTTTGACAAGAAAATTCCAATGTTTGTCTTCAATAAGCATCTCAAAACTTGCATTCAAAGGCAAGTGATAGAATATAGTGACAGTGATCAGAAGAAAAGAGAGGCAATCTCAATAAACTTTGTCATTCATCCATTGAAAGTTCAATCATATCAGAGGTGTTTTGCATAACTATGAGGTACTGCTTCTAATCCTCAAAGGCTTTTTGGGCCTCTTGGCTTCACACTGTAGTCATTCAAGGTCACAACCCGGTAGGAAATATGGGCTGCCATAGCAACGCAAAGATGGCCTCTGAAGGCTTAGCATAATTCTCCCCTAATAGAAAAATAACAGCAGCAAATCCCGTCCTTAGTGAACTCGCTCATTTGACAGAGGCAGACTCCCACCTGTGAAGCACAGTCACCACAGCAATGCGCTAAGGCAGCGATAAGATAAAAAACCCCCGCCAATCTCTTGATGGGGATGGGCGGCCTTAAGCTCAAGCCAAATTCTTTCTCTTCTCTGAAGAAAGTCTCTGGCCAGCTTTGAGTTTTTTAGGTTGGACAATGCAAGCTGCCAAATGAATCACACTCTCAATGTAGTACCTAACTTTGAAGTGCTTAAGCCATACCCTGTGAAAGAAAAAAAATCTGGCAGATGATGGTGGCTTATATAAGGATGAAAAGGGGGGAACTGATTTTACCTTTATGAAATATTTTCAACTCAGCAAGATTTATTGACTGGCTTGAATGGTAGCTTCTACTGTAAATCATATAAAATCCGATGGCTTTTGGTCCTCTCAAAATACTAAGGAAGGATTGCAATACTCAGAAACTAGTCTCCTTCAATTTGATTAGCTTTCATTTTGCAGCCAGGTACACGAAGATAGATTCCTGTCAATGTGAGAGTTGCATCAGGATGATGAGAGCTTGAAAAGAGAATACATTACTGCTATACTTAAAAAGTGGGTAATATGTTAGTTATCAGTGGCTGTATTGCTGCATAGCTCTTTGCTTATAGAATGGCTAATTGTGGAAAAAAATCAAATGCTATCTTAAATAGTTACAGCAAAATCTGGCTATGTACATTTTCTATATCTCAATGGTGATTTTCATAAGAGGTATGACATGCCATTGGTCACATTCAAAGACATTTAGAAAAGAGGGAAGGAGGTAAGGCCAAAGTTTGGAAATCTGTTGCATGCTTTGCAGTAAAACTGAGTTAGCTATTTGTTGCTCAGCAATTGAACAGGGTTCAATTGCTGGAACCTCCTTTTCTAGCTTATGTATAGCTTCTATCTGTGAGCATCCTGCTGTAGATGTCAGCTGCAGGACTATTTTACTTTGTGTACTAGCCTTTATGAATCCAGTCTCCTTTTTTTCAAACTGTGCACAACTGTCATCACATCAGGAGTGTTTCTTGTTTCATATAGTTCAAAATGACACAGAAGAACCAACTAAAGGAGATAACTGTTATATCAAGATGTCCTTACATCTCACTAGAAAGCCTTACCTTTGTGCTTTAACACTTTAATCCAAGAGGATTACCAAATCTTAACTGATTCCCATCATAAAATCTCAATTTGACTCAGGATAATTACTCGCTATCAAGATATCTGCTTCTTGTGATTATGATAACATAAGGAGGATGTATTAGCTCTCTTAAGGGGTATTTTTGTCATGCAAATGCAGTTTAACAGCTTCCTTTTCATATCAAGAGATCTTTTTGCTTTTGGGCAGATATGCAAAATCATTTTTAATATTCAATTTCCATTATATAAAGTCATAACAATTATATTACATACACTGATAAAACAATACCTTCTCCCTTGGCCTTTTCTCCTTAAAAGTCTGCTCTATCTCAAAGAATACATTTTCTAAATTGCAGCAGCTTGTCTAAATCATGGCACGCTTTGTAGAGGCTTCTCTTTAAATTGGCAATGACATTTCTAATGGCCATTTGAGGAGTTAAACCTATCCGGTCAGTGGTTGGATGAATGGACTCATTAAATCAAGCCTGTTTGGACTGTCCCCTGAAATGCCAAGCTCCAGCTGCTGGAGTGAAAGGTACAAAACTTCGGCCTATAAGCCTCCTGCTACACACTCTTACACTGAGCACCTTTCCACTTCAAAGCTTGCTCAGCACTATGTCTCAAAGTTACACATCTCCAGGAAAGAATGGCCTCTGCTGAGATACGTACACCTCTGGCCTCATTTGACGCCAACTGCTCCCCTCCCCCTCTCCAGGCCTGAATCCGAGGATAGAGAGGCTATCAGACGAGATCACTCAAAGATGTGCGGGAACTTAAAGGCAAAGAGTTACTGAGCATCCTACCAGGAGTCTCAAAAGGGTTCTATTAAAGCATGTTCAATATGCCGGTCAGGGCTTTTCAAAGTGTTGCACACCCTCTAGCCCCGGCAAACTCAAAGGGCATCAGAGCACATTCTGTAAGAGGAATCTGGCCCCATTAATTTAATGAGTCCAGGGTATTAGTATGCCATAGCAAGCTGAGAAAGCTCTCTTTTTTCATCTTTGGTGGAATTTTAAGGAAAGGTCTACCAACTAGGGAATGCCAGAAGAGAACGGGGAGCAAGGTGCACTCATTGAATCTCAGATCGGTTTCCAGTTGTCACTCCTCAGGGCGCAATTTCCAGTCCTTAAATTGTCTTTGAGCAAACCTGAGAAGTTGATTAGGAGCAGAAGGTAGCACTTTTATCTGCACCTGAAGAACTACACCTTCTGTTATCATTGCATTCAATAAAGAAAACAGATATGGCACATATAAAAAAAATCAAATCTAAATGTCTAGGTGCTTGGAATTAACCTACAAAAACAAATCTGTATCGAAAATTTGGACACGTTTAGATCCCGCCTATTTTCTAGAAAGTTCTTCTACTTTTCCTTTTACAGTTTTAATATTACTATGTTCTAGATAATCTGTCCACACTGGGTAGCTAGGGCTCAATAACATTATATATACTGCTTCATTTTTCCAGATTAACTTTAGCATATTTCACTGTGATGGCAGTACAAATCAAAGTTTATAAATGAAATGGAAGAGGAAGCATTTTGTTTTCTTTTGTCAATTTCTACCTTTCAAAATAGCTTAGCTGTCTGAACAGAAATCCTTCCTAAAATATTTATATAGTTTTAGCTTCAGCTTTTGGTTGGACCAATGTAACACTTGAATGTGGTTCAATCAAAGCCACTCCATCTGGGATTCTAAATGTACTTTAGGGTTGCCATTTATCTTTTGCAGCCACTAACATGTTTTACTTAGTGCTTTGCTACCCACCACCAATCGTTTCTGGACCGCATCTCAAGAAAGGCATAACCACAGTATGATGCTGCCACCATCATATTTTACAATTTTAAGTTGCATATAATTTTTTTAATATCAAGATTAAATCATCACTAATCTTTTGTCTGTGTTTTTTAGTGGGGGGTAGGAGTACTGGAGGCTATATACAACTGTGCAGCTTTTCTTCAGTAGGAAAAATGTTTTCTTTGCGGAAGTTCCCTTTACTGTTTTAATACACCAAGATGAAAAACAAACACATTCATGCACATTCAGAAGGTAAAAAAACAACAACAGAAAACCAATACCAGCTCAGCATTCGCAGCTGGTAATAATGGGCACCTATTAGCACTTGGAGACATATTTGCATAATGTATTTGGAAACATGCTGTGGACTTTATGGTGCTGTTAGCCTCTTTTTTCATTCAGATTTAGTCTTCAGTCATTTCACAGCTAATTAGCCTGGCAAACTGGGATATTTCTTTATAAATTTATAACACCTTACTTTAAAAAGAACAAATATTCCAAGCTTACAATAAACTGTCCTGTCAGTGTAAGACATTACTTGGACGGTGGAGTTTGCATCTGCCTGTCAACCAGGAGTAAGCGACTGCTGGAGCTGATTACAGCCATATTAAGACTGTAACATAGCCTAGGATAGAACCACATCAAACGCTCCTCTTCATACAAGTCTGGAGTCCCATCCCTGGGATGCTTAGCCCTCTTGTGACCTCTGCTGGGACCCTGCTGGGTCCTGGGAGCTGTGGGGTGAAGAAGAGTGGGTCAGGATCACTGTGGGGTGCACCTGAACCAGACTTACCTGTGTCTGGGTATCCGCATACCATAATGTGGCCATGTGGCTGCGTGGCAAGAGTGCATGGACTCTGACCTAAACAACAAAGAAGAAGGGAAAGGGCTTGGGTGAGAGGTCAGGAGGAGCAAAAAACACTTGGAAAAAAACACTCACATACGACACATTGGCTGAGCATGATTAGAGGGACACGTGTGGCAAAGCAGAGGCAAAACCAGATGCCCTCAGATGTTCTGATGAAATCTAAGCACAATGTAAACAAGTGAGTTCAAAAATGATTGTGCGTCATTTAGGAACCGTTTATCTTTTTTCCAGAGAAAAAAAAAAAACTTTTGCCAAACTGCTAATAAAATAAATCTAATCTAAATTCCAAAATAACTCCTAGCTCAATCGTAATGAGCACTCTCGCTGAACAAACACACCTCAAGCCCATTGAGGAAAGGTTGTTCCAGCCAATATTTATAGACATGTGATAAAAGAAAAAAGATGAAAGAACAGATAGTTGACTCTCTCCAGTCCGTCTGCTTTCTACTCCGAGCCTGAATTATTTGCCCAGTGTAGCCAATGAGAGACTTATAAAAAAAACACATTTCTCCTGAAACCTTTCTCTGTTTCATTTCAACTAAATAAACCTAAAACATATATATTTTTTAATATAGAGCCAAATATTGTATTTAAAAAAAATGTGCACATGCAACGAGCTGCAGTTCCAAAATACATAAATTAGAACGAATGAAAGATTGATGAGCATTTCACATAGGTGTCAATTGCATTAATGATTCAGCAGAGAATCCAAAAGTAGTGTGGCAGAAGGATGTAGGCGTTGCCTGTGTACATAGATCAGGTTCTGCACATATTGTGTCATGGCTCAAAGGGGTTCATCCTACTGTCAAATGGAGGAGGCTTGAAGCAGGCCTCCATCTCCACCTGCCACCCTGAAACTCTGTTTCAACACCCTGCTGGGATACACGTGGTCAGACCTACCTACAGGTATGTCACTATTAGACTAGACAGACATTAATTTGCCACCATTTGCGATAGGTGAACTCAGTACATCCGATACGTGCATGGAGAGTGCGTTCAAAATAGCATCATTAAAGTACAAACGTTTTTGAATGTTTTTTAGTAACTCTTTACAATAACACAGAAACATTAAATCCAGTTTATGTTAGATATTTGGTGTACCTGCTATGTCATGGGCATGAAAAAAAGAAAGTAAAATCCTTTGACTTGATTTTGGCAGCCTAATATTATCCTGCCACTCTGTACAGCCCAGGTTCTCTTGTTGCATTTAAGAGAGGAGGTAAATTTCAGCTTTTCTCAGTTTCATGGCTTTACTTGCGAGGCAACTGGCCGTGAGGGTCCAAGTGTTGTGTTCTTTCAGCAGTTGTCATGTGGTCTCAATCTCTTTACACATTTCACTGCCAGGCTCTATTCTACCAGGCCTCCCCAAACTGCAATCAGCAGATGTCTTTGTAGAGCAGCCCACCGCCACGTGCAGTGCCCACAATCTTTGCCAAATTCATTTGATAAAATATAGTATTTTAATATTTTTACTGTTTTGTTTATTTTACTATTCTTACCCCCAGCTCAGTATACATGGTGATGCGGTACTAAATATTGTTCCATGGTTGCCAAAACCAGCTGTCTTAGTAGTTTAATTTTGAAGCCAGTGATTTCCTTAGTTTTCTTAAGTTGGTCATATCTCCTGTTTTGCAGACTTGTCTTTTTGGCAAAAAACTCATGCGGCAAAAGAGTAATACATCACAGTGTTTTAACCTTTAAATGGATTATGTTAAATCTTAGATTTTGTGAGCAGCTTTTAATATTAGGGATAACAACATCTGATGACAAAGCTGGAATATGATTTTGTATTACTAAAACAAAGCAAAACAAAACCAAAAAATACTTTCATAAGTTATAATATCGAAGACATTTTGTTCAAACACTTTTACAAATGAAAACAAAATCTTTCTAGAAATAACAGTAACAGGTACAGCAAACCTTGGTCATTTAAGACGGGCAATTATTAACAGAAAAATCTATGAACTTTGCGTAATTTAGATGTCATATTTTCTGTTTTATTTACTTATCCAAAAGCTAAAATATATATCATAAAAAATAATCACTTTTAACGATGTTAAAAGTGATTAACGATTAACGATGTTAATTGTTGAATCGCAAAGCTATTCTCTTTGTGTAGATGTTTAAAATCACACACATATATTACCAAAATTGCCCAAATTAAGGTCTACATTTGATCTATTCCTGTACCATGCCGTCGTTTGGCTTACAATATTGCTATCATCGCAGCTGTTGCAGATTTTTCTTTCATATTTTTTCATAAAAATTTTTTTTTAAACACACAAAGACTGCAATGCCTTAAATATCAAAGAAGTTAAATTCATACCTTATTTGACATAATTTCTGACACACAGCAACTCTGCAAGCAATCCTTTTCACCAGAACATTTTTTTTCCCACAGTGTAGCTTTGCTATTTCTTTAAGAAAATGAAATCTGTGTGGTTGTGCTAAAGCCAACATGGGAGTCAATAAATGTCAAAAGTAACTTTCCTGGGATTGCGGCCATTCGTCCATCATGGGCATGTGGCAGAATTCATCTTCAGAAACCGCAAGCACCACCTGGGCACCATCAGGGCACCGCCATACCGTCTTGTCTGTCCCTTTGAATTTCAATATTGCAGCAGAGGGTGGCAGACTTCTTAAGGGTTGGTTACCCGCGAATTGAGCTGTCAAAATTAGCAATCTTTCTGGTTCGTTTAAAAGGCGAAATGGGTCACGCGCTGAGGCAACAGCTAAGACCCAAGAGAGATGGCATAATATCATCAGCGGGAAATTATTCATTACAGCATGTTATCAAATTAACAAAATATTTTTAGATATTGCTTTATTAGCATTTGAAACTAATTATTTTACATAACAGTGTCATAATAAGTGTTGATGCTTCTGTCAATTATCCCTTAAATCTCTAGCCTGACCTTTCAAAGTGATTGCGATAATGACAACTCCATAAATTCATTTTTTTTTATTAATTGCCGATTTTCCTCATAAAACCACAGAAACAGGGAATTGTGCGCCTGTCCATGGGTGTGGGAGTGTGTGTCTCATAAGTGGTGATGTTAGTTTTGTGCACTTGGCAAGCATTTTTTTCTTTCGCTCCATTTGGTGACAGATTGGGTTTAAATAACATTATAACTTCACAGTTGTGACTCACAAGCCAAGGCGTTACAAAGTCAGGGTGAGGTTTAGCACTTCAGATGAGGACGAAGGAAGACCAGGTCGCCTCACTTTGTCTTTTAGTTTATCACTTTCTTTAGAGCCTAATCTGGGACTCGAGGGACTTTTTCCTGCCTCAATCAGTCCACTATTTTAAAACAAAACCCATTCTTTTCACATGCTGTCACTTAAAAGCCAAAGTTTGTAGTGATTAGTTGAACAGATGGATGCACTGAAATGGTTTGAAACTTCTTTCAACAGCCCGCTTAAGAGATAGTGCTGCGCTTTTTTTCCTTTTAAACATTGAGTGTTAACCAAAGCAGGCATTTTTTTTTAACCAAAAAAAAGAAACATTTTCAAAGATATAGACATAAATGTAACAGCATAGATCCCTAGACATTTTAAGATTGCATATTAGAAAAGACCCACCTTTGCATTGATTACAGCATGTCGCATTGCAGGGTGCAAGGCATTGCTCAATGCTTCATAGCTACCATGCTAACCCCGGCGCTCTACTTTTTTCGACAAGCCTTAGAATCTGTGAGCGGAGGCCATGGCAGGGTGCATTTCCTTTCTGAGCCCCAGGTAACTGGGCATGCAGGGGGATCTTGTTTGATATTGATGCTGCGGGCTCTAAAAATTCAAGTCTTAATCTTGCATTGACTCTCTGAACCAGTCTGCTCCACCGTCGGCCGCAGCCCCATCGTCAGCCATGTTTGTTTTTTGCTGCTGCTGTACTATCAAAGGCTAACTGCTTTACAGCACCTCCTGGTGCTGCCTGGGAGGAAACTTCTCTATTTGCAGTAAAGAATTTGACCTAAATATTTTGAAAGTAATAACACCTTATTTACAATAAGTGGGTGTTCTATTATCTCATTCTTTCATTATTTATCCAAATATATTGAAACTGTGATGGTCTTCTTGAGAAGCTGCTATATATAAGAACAGTTAAAACACCAAATTGAGAATTTGTATTGAATTTGGAGACTTTAAAGTTCTTCCATAACATGGTGGACAAGAAAGATTAAACAAAGTGTAGCTCTCTGTTGCAAAGTTAACTCAGGACCAGTCAGCCTTGATGCAGTTGTCCTGTTCTAAGTTGTCCATCCTTAAAATCCGAGTCCTAGTATGAAGTGGGGCACAAAAGAAGGATAAGGGTTGTCAGTTCTGCTACTGCAGAGCGCATCTCAGCAGTGCATGGAAGCTAATACAGACGCATTGGGGCAAGAGCGGACTGACAATCAATGAGATGTCACGGAAAACAGGCTGCAGGATGTTGGCAGTCAACTTCCTGGTTACATAATGCAGGTCAAATCTTAATTACGAGATAATCAAGTTTAAATGAGATAAGTGAAAAGTAGAAATAAACCAAGTTCATATTATAACTGTATATTTATTGATCTAAACCTTGCTTAAAGTTGACAATGTTATCATTCCAGAAAAGAGAGAAAGTTTTGGAATCCTTCAGCATTTTGTACAGTTGTCTAAACTTCTATAAGATCTATTTTTCAGTTGATATTATCTCTGACAGTTACATAAAAACACGTCCTACATAATGTGTTTCTCTTGTTGAGATAGTAACAGACATGAAGTACTTATTTTCCAACCAAGAGGCATGTATATTAGCATCAGGTCAGACAGCTGGAAAGTGTCATGTGTTAAAAGCAAATTTGAAAGTAGGTGGATAAAGTTATTCCTTGATCAGATTTATCATGTTACAGAAAGAGTAACAATTTAATCTTAATGTAGTAAAAACAATCCCATTTAAACCATAAAAACAAAAAGTCACATTGATTAATTCTCTACCCAGAAATTATATTGATAAATATATCAGAATGACTAAAAAGTAACTATATCAGAGAAAAAGCTTCAAGTCCAAAAAGTAGCATTATCAGTCATGTGCCTATAAGGGTGCTTTAATTTGACAGTGTGAAATTGGAGATCCTTTGAAGAACATCCGCAGAACCTTTTCCCTTATTTATTCCTCATCAGTGGTGTGACTCTGACATGTGACTATTGTACACCAGAATTATAGCTTGGCTAAATAAAGGTACATTCTATGAGAAATATTACCAGAAGTTTTATGTGAATATGTTAAATTTAACCAAAGGAAATTAGGTCTGTTATATATTTAAAAAATCCTCTTCTTTTTCTACCTGTCCTTAAACTATACTGAGATCATAATACTTTTCATCTTTTTCGTCTTCATCATATTTCTAGGTATATATGGGATTTTTGCAGCTGAATCAATAGAAAATCTTTTACAAGAAAACAAAATAAAGTAGCGTAAAAAAAATAAAAGTTTACGATCGAAGAAAAACTGCATAAAGGAAACACGTTCCTTTCAAGGGCGTATTTTCGATACATAATAATTTGAAGAATATTTTAAATAAAAAAAACAACAGTTATGTTTTATTTTTCTAGTCAATTTTGTAGAAAATGTTTATTTCTTTAAAATAAATAATTGGTTAGAAATAAAAAAAACATACGAATGTTTAGATTGATGTTAAAAATGCGGTGAATTTAAAATGTTACTAATTTCAAAATAAATCTCTTAATTACTTTTATTTTCATATTTGCGAAATTTAAGTAAAGTAAAAATATCATTTATTAGAAATTTTCACTATAATTTAATTGAATATGCTTTCGTTATGTCAGCCGATTAGCAAAGAAATTAAATCTGTCAATTTACTCGAAAATGGCAATGAATTATTTTAAAGCAATTATCAAAAAAAACATTTTCTATACATTTTAAAAAAACATAAAACAAGTCATTTTTTTCATATATGTGATACTGAGATAAAAGACGGCTAAATTTATCGTGAAAATGATTCCTTTAAAAAGTGTCCTTGAGCAAATCAATATGATTTATTTAGAGTACAGCAAAGGGACATTAAGTATATGATCTTAAATTCAACAAAGCTAAGCGACTTGTTTAAGAATTATTTAAAAGTTTTTAGCTTATATCAAACAAACGGAATAAGCGAAAAACAATGAAAAAGTAATTACGCTGTAATTCTTTTTTGTTAGTTTAGCTGTTTATGTAGAAGCCATCTGTTAAAGTGTCTCTTTGTAATTCTCTTCCATTGGTTTGAAGATTCTCAGAACTTTGCATGCGCATCAAAAGTCACGGAAATCTATCAGAACTCTCTTTCAAGGTTGTATTTAATTGCCGAGATTCCCTTATTTCAAGTCCTTTTTTATTTCTTCAAGGGACATTGTCTGGAATAAGGAGCTCTCATCCTAATCAAATAATATGCAATGATAAATAAGAATCCCAGTTTTTGATCAAAGCTTCTGAATCAAATCAAATGTTTTTCTAAGAAAACCCAAGTCTCTAAGAGTGAAACTTCTCTGAGTTTGGGAAATAAAAGGATGCCGTCTGTTTTTTGTATGTTTGTCTGTAGAGAGGACATTGAACTGTCAGCAGTGTCCCTCCTACTCATCAGGACTGTTAGATATCCTGACAACACAAATGTTTTATTCCTTAGCAATGTTTTAATTTGTAATTACATCAGCAGGTCAACTCTGGTCAAAGTCTTAAAATAAATATTTTCTTTTTGATAAAACTTAAGTTTACATAAGTTGTTTTATTTAATATTACATTGCAAAAAAAAGTTTAATAAAAAATTGGATTTGAACATTTACGTAAAATGACATGTTTTAAAAAAGTAAAAGTATTAAGTTTTAATCGAAAAAGATAAAATGACATCAAATTGTTGATGCTTTTTTTTATTCTTTCTCATTTTTCCTTTTTTTTTTCTACATTCTCAACTACGTTGTTACTGTAAAACATCCAAAATGTATTCATTTCAGCTCAAGTTAAAAAACTGATCAGCAGGGAAACTTTGCTGGGGGAAGAAAAAAAAACTTACCAATCTTACCCTTTGAATCTCAAAGAAAACTATCTCTCACATGATTTTCCAAAGTTAGTCCATTGCACTGAAAGAAAGGAAGGATAAAAAAGAAATTCCAAAGGCTTCCTTGTGTCGAACTTGGAAGGCTTTTAACTGAAAAGACTCAAACAGACTCACGTATGAGGCTGTCACATTTGCTCGTCTCAAAACTTAGAATCCATGCTGAAAATATTTATGTAGTCACTCTTTTCGGAAAACTAAAGTCATTTGAAGTATGTGCAGTTATTTTATTTACTCCTTTGTTCTCTACATTGTGCAAATTTGTAAACTACCTCATGCTGGGAAAGCTAAATTACGTGAATACAGAGTTCTGGTAAAGCTTTGACTTGTGAGGAACTACTGGGCGGTCACGTTATCATACACGTGAAATACTGTAGATGACAATAACACCTAGCTGATGCCTCAAACTGGATTAAATGTGTAAAATTCAATACTTTGGCATGCTACTTACTGAAAAGTCATAAAAAGTTCATCTATTATGTGATATTTTTGAGCAGTAACATGAGCATCAGCTCCATCTTCCTTCCTCTCTGTTAGCTTAGCAACAGCAGCCATTTTGTCTGCTTTTACATTGGCTGAGACGTCTCTCTTAGGTCATGACGCATTTCATTCAGATTCTTATCAGGAGATGGTAGGAGCAATTTCATCGGTAAATTTCGCAGGGGCAAGAGCTCTTAATTTGAGCTTTTAACCAAGATATCAGGTGGAAAAAAGTGGATCGTTTTAGGCATGCGCTGTGCATGTCCTGAGCGTTGATGCTTTCATTTTCCTGCTCAGAAGGTGCCAAATGGTGCTTAGCATTAACCACATGGCTGTCGCACAAAGGCACACATATATAATACGTTCATGTGCATTCACGTCCTGCATGCGCACACACACGTGCCCACTGACATATATAAATGAGATGAGTTTATCCCTTTCTTAGAGGCTGATTCAACCACCCGCTGCGCTCTCTATCATGCTATGCAGACAGCCGACCACAGGATGCACAGACCCAGCTGTCTAGAGGTCACCTTGGCTTGTTTGATTCACAGGGATGGATTCGGGGCAGTAAAGTGGACCTCCACCATCCACAACCATAGAACCTCCAACATTCTCTCTACTCTACTTTAACCAGAATTTATAGCAGGCTTTATAGGTAAGTACTATCAATTGTGCAGTAAAAAAATGTCTTAGGCATACCTGTTTACCAACTGTTTGCAAAACTTCTTTAAAATGCTTTAAATTGACGAGCTAGATTTTGGATATTTCTGCTCAAATTTTCTGAATTATCCTTCAGAAAAGAATAAAAATACATCTTATTGCACAGACGCCGCTGACTATTGCTACTTGAAAACATGCGTCTGTGCCTCACATCAGCATCATTATAAAACATTGTTTTCATAGGATCAATAAATACATTCTTAAAACCATAAAATGCTCCATTGGACAAGGCCTTTTTTTATCTCTAGGTTCCTGGACTTACTTACTTAGCAGGCCAAATTCCCAGCTCTAAGACTTATACTGCTGAGTTTAGGCCTATCTCTCTTGTTGTAATCTATAGCAGATACTACCTGCATAAACAAATACATGCAGACACAGACACTCACCTCTCTTCTGCAGCAAGACTCCATCATAGAAACAAAACGCTAGAGTCTCATCATATTCTTGTAACAATCCCACATTTCCTTGCTACCGAGGCAGAGAAGATGAAAAAAAGAGCGGGGACTGAGGCCCGGAGACGGGGCTTTCTGTATTTCAAGTAAGTCGGCCTGACTACCCCTGTAAATATAGGAGAGCAAATCCTTTTCAGGTTGAGAGTATGACTCAGGACTGCCACATAAATCAGTGCAGGCCCAGCCCGGCAAAGGCTGGGAACGCCATGGGAGTGGTAGGCGGCTCTACTGTGAGGTTTTTGGGAAAGGATTATGGATTGAGACGTACAGCTGGGAGGCTAAAGTTACACTTTTCATTACCACTTCGAGGGGGTCTTGGCTGCCTGGAAGCCAGTCAAATTTATGAAGACTGCTTTTTCCCCCTGGAATGGTTGTAATTCTGCAGGCCCATTCTTAACCTGAGGATAATTGTTTTTGATATAGCAAGAATAATTTGGCACAAACATGTTGGGAAATTCTTTTTCTTTCTCTCTTTTTTTGCCAATGAAAGAATGAAAAAAGAAAAAGGAAAGGGTATTGTGAAAAGTCCTCATTCACCAAAAGACCAGAGTAAAGAGAGAGCAGTATGCCCCCTTCTGGCTCTTTTCTTCTCTCCCTCTTTTCTTCTCCTTTTTTCCCTGGCGTCTAGAGATGTGAAGAAACGTCTTTTGATCAGTCCTGACAGAGCCTGGGCCATGTGAAGAGGGTGGCTAGCGGGACTCTGCCAATCCATGCAAGGCAAAAAATGTTCATAATAAGAGAGCAATAAACTAACGAGTGCTGGGTGTGTGTCTGATCCACATTCTGGGTAAAGTTTGTGCCAGCACACCCAGTGCCTTCTGACGTGTAGGCGACTCTCATCAGTTTCTGGCCTGTTTGCCAGGTCACTGCGTTTCACCTGCTCACTCCCATATGCTCTGACTATTTCTGTAACAGGCTGAATCTTAGTGGGCACACTGAAATAGAATGGACTTACCTCTTGTTCTAATTTTATACACTGGATTAAGATCACGGGTTGGCATTTATTGTTGAAAATATATGGAAAGCTTGGAAAAGGAAGTCCAGGGACGATTCCAAGCGTTTTCCACTGTTATTCCCTGAGCTTAGGGCCAGGTTAAAGCGATTATTTATTGAGGAATAGTTCATATATCATGGAACATTATTATTTAAGAGTGAGTTCATTTTATAGAACTGAAGGAGATAGGCACATATCATCTCCTCAATAAATACCTTATAAACACATCACCTCCACTGTAGGAGGAGTGGACAACAAAACAGCTGCCAGCTCCTGCTCTTTTTGCCAAAAACAGCCAAATTCAGAGTGCTGCAGGGCATCCCGAAAAAAAAAAACAGGTGCCTAGTTGGGGGAGTTGGGCCTGGTCTTGAGCTTGTCTCTAGGAAGGTGCTAAGCATTGGATGTGTGAGGCTTAGGCTTGCCAGAGTTTAATCGTTGTTGGTGAATCTGGGACTCAAGCGCTGGTAATTAAGGTGGGGAGAGGCAACTCAGCAGTGCCTCAGAGACCAGCGAGAGGGACGGGCCCATGCCCAGTGGGGAGGAGAAGCCTGCCGCAGGAGGGACCAATCAAGTGTAAAGCTGGGCATAGACCCTGGGCCTTGGTTCAGTGGAAAAAGCCTTGGCCACTAGTTCAGAGCGCCGCAACTTTCACGGATTAGTAGAGACACTATTCTGAGGGCTGAAAGGGGAACACAGCACGGAGGCAGCATCAATGCATGTGTGCACGCACATAAACACACAGTCTCCCTCTTTCTTTTTACCCTCGCCCTACTGCACACAAAACCACCAACAGCTGGGAGGAGAGCTATAGCAATTGCCACATTACCATGGCAACGACATATCTCACATTTGGGCCAAAATGAAGACACATTGTGCTGGAACCGGATATTTATTCTTCTATTTAATAGAAGTATTTTAATAGTTTTTCTCCATGCTTCTAAAATGCTTCCCCCTGACTGAGTTAATGAGCTGCAATTGAAGATGCTTAGTGCATCAGTCTAGCATTTTGTCATTTTGCAAATTATAGGATAACAACATTGCAAATTTAACTTGTGTAGTTTCATTACAAAGAACCCAGAGAATTTGCTACGAAGAGTTGCATGTATGTTAATTTCCTCCAATTTTCTTGGTCCTGTGCTCAAATATGTGTATCACATTTAAAAGAGGGGGCTCTTTCAAGTGAACTCATTGCTAAAATTAAACTATTTTCACTGTCCTGTGCCTTTGGCAGGTCCAGCTTTGAAGCATAATCACTAAACACTTTTTCTCATTTGGTTTTAAATGTAATTATTAAATAACAAAAACAGATGAAAGAGCTGATGTTCTTCTAAAAAGAACTGTGGTCATGATTACGTAATGAAAATACTAAATATTTGAAGTTTAGAGAAATCAATTAGTCTTTTGAAGAGTTAGAATGTTGTTGAAGTAACTGCAGACCCACTTTGGTTTGTCAAACACCAAAGAGCTTCCTAAAGCCTTTTTTACTTTTTGCTGGAAGCTTATTCCGAATTTTCATTTGGTGGCAGAGGAAGGCTCATTTCAGAAATGGTTGAAATATGGCTGAATGTCATAGATTAAAATAGCATATCATCAAGTGTATGTAAGGCAATAGGTTTAATTACACTCTAAGACAAATGTTATTAAAACTTATTATATGACACTGCATAATTTGGAAAACATTAATTGATATACAATTTAAAACTCATGGGATTTTTTTAATTTTACATAAATTATATTGTGCTTTTCTGCTTTCAGATGTAGAATTTTTACCACCATATCTTCAGAAAACCATTTTACAGTCTTTGTGGTGTGAACAGCTTTAGCTGAACTTAAGGGTGTCCTTTGTTTTCAAGATGTCAGCTGTAGCACCGACATCTTTATTTTTACTCTCAACTGTAGAGCTGTATTTATGGTGGTGCATGTTCACATTTACAGTCTTATTATCAAGCTGCATTGGTAGTAGGGTGCTATTATTCTCTTTATTACCTAGGAATTCAGAATAATGCATTAACTTTCACAGAATAATAAAAAAAAAGGCTGCTCTATCCAGTATCTCTCAAGCTTAGCCACACATATGCACTGACAGAGTCGTGGGATTGGACACATTCCACTAGCACTCAGCTACCTTCCAAGAAGTAGGAGAGAAACAAACAGCTTGAATACAACAGGGATTTATTTTTTTGTTTGTTTTGCTTAGTGACAACAAAAGAAAGAGGAAAATATGGTAGTAATGTAACAGTAACAGACTTGAAAAGTAACTAACTAATCACTCACATTGTGAAATTGTTTGGTTATGGTATTCTTTATGAAAATATAACAAGAAACTGTAGAATATAACAAACACATATAAATCAAACAGAAAACCAGAAAAAGTACCTATACAGTGTAAAAAACAGCTTTCAATGAGCCACCACAACCTAAGTCATTATGAAATTATGCTTTGAGGTTTTTTTTCTCTAATTTCAAATTTCTATTTCATATGTTGGAATTAAAAATTTATAATAAACAGATTCTTTAAAGGGAAATTTTGAAAATCAGTTCATCGTTTTGTGTATCTTTTAAACATTTAAATGCAGAGGTGTCAAAGTTGTTCATGTTTATTACTCAAGTAGAAGGATATGTCCTTCTGTTTAAAAATACTTTATATACTAGAATATCAAATTTAACTTTGATAATGCCAAATTTAACTTTGCATCATCTTTAAAAACTATTTTGGGAAGTGGTGAATAACAAGTCTGTGCAGCACATGCAGAAAAAAGTGACTTTTTGGTGCAGTAAATCTTGTTAGAGTAGTTGTGTTGCTGTATTTCTAAGCTTCAGTAAAAACTAGAGTTTCTGAAGTAAAATAAACCTTTTTTTTTAATGTAATACATGAATGTTGGGGAAAGAGTACGTTTTACTTAGATTTCCTTATGTTATTTAAATGTTTAATAGCAGTATGTATATAATACTAAAAATACTACATAAACTTTTACTTTAAAAATTTAGCATTTTGAAACGCATGCATGGCGCATGCGCACTGTAGCTCACAGCAGGATTGATTCTGCTCCGAGTCCAGGCGTTACAGGATCAAACCCAGAGCAAGAGGTAGTCGCTACGACAGTCATTTTGGCAGGGTGCAACAGCAGGGCTGCCAACATTTCACCAAAACATTGGAGCGAGATTTTGAAATAGTTTGGACAGGCAACCCTTGTCATGGTTAGATTGAAAGGCTCTAAAAATAACTACAGTTATAGGTTGTAGGTTCTCAGAGGATTTAACTAAAACAAAGTGGCAAAATGTGGAATTTTTATAGCACAGTAAATGTTACTGAATAATAATAAGTGATCTGTAGTTATATGAAACATTTTTCACAAAATATACATTATTTTCTGTATTCTGGTGATTTTTAGAGAATTGAAGTAAATAAGAATGGGCCCTACTAAAATAATTGCATGTTAAATATACTGTAACCAAGAATTTAACAACTGTGTTTATCAATTACTCTATGCAGTTGAAGTAAAATAAACAATGGGTAACTAATAAGTTATTATTGGATTGCTGGCACTAACACAGGAACCAGTGCAATCAAATCCAATGCGAACTACACTCTGTATGAATATTTGGTAATACGCTAAGCATTTAAAAATCTTAACTCATTATCTTATTAGTTTTTCTTATAATTGACAAAACAGCTAAACAATTCCCACGTCCAGGAGGCTTTAGATTCTATGGCTGCAACTAATGATTATTTTGCAAATAGATGAATTAATTAATAATCACATAGCCAAAGGTTCCTTAAAGAAGATTTTTTTATGAAATTAAACCAGGTGAAGCTAACACTTTTCCACTTGAGGAGTTCTTGATAGAGCAACATGACAGATGAAAAAGTTTATGGCATAATTGCTGCTCAAGGGGGGTTGTTCTATCAGCTACAGACATGTTTTAGAGTCTCTATTTTCCAGTTAGCTATTAATGAATTATTAAATTGATTGATTAATCAAGATTAATCCGATTAAATGTTTCAGCCCTGTGTGATGGAAATGTAGGTTTTAAACATATTCAATGGACCAAAATAAGGATAAATGAATAAGATAAGTAATAATAAAACAAGAATATCCCTCTGGTTCCTCTTCTATCATTTTCTGGATAACTGAGTTGTTCTGCACATCCTCTCTGTATGTGGTTGGTCTTTTCTTAGGTGGCTGATCTTTTGAAAAATAAAATGCAATGGTTCTTTTTCTTTTTGTGGACCTCCAATTGTTTTGTGACGCATACCTGAAAGCTTTAAAAATGTAGATATTTGTGTTGGTTTAATTAGTCCTAAATTCCAATTGCAGATTATTAAACTAGATTTGAGCAATAATTATTTAACTTGTCAACAAAACATGGACTCAAACTGTGACTAAATCAGGTGGCCGAATTAAAGCAAACAAGGAGTAAATCTCACAAAAAAAACACTAGGTATAGAAAAAACAAACAAGAATTAGCAGTGGGTTCCAGTTAATCTAAGTTGAAGATTGCCTGTCATCAATGTTTTTAGTTCAAT